AATAAACGTTGTTGTTTTACACATTTACCTCTTCACTTGCTGCCATTGATGAAAGGGAGTCTGATGTGCTCGTCATGTTTCTGGAAGTTGCGCTCCCAAGGATTTTTGACCCTAATGGCCATCCGTTGGTGAGGTCTTACTGAACACAAAAATACTGCTCTTTTGCAATAATTTAGGGATATACTGGCCCCAAAACCAGAGAAAATACAGAGTCACTTTACAGAAATTTAACAATCATTTTTAAAACATTATAGTTATAATTAATCTAATGTGTTTATTTATCCAAGTCTGAATTTTAACCAAACCTATAGAGAAGTTTGTCATTAAAATAAAATGTTTGGTTTATTGTAATTAAAGTATCTTTCCGGGGTTTCCCCTTTCAGAAATTATGTAGGATTTTTCAGAAATCCGTAACAGTGATTGTCTCATCATGTACTGATATAATGTAAGCAATACGTCCTTTTTTTGTGCTAAGCACATCCCCTGCCCCGCAGAGCTCAGTGCAATGGGAAACTGAGCGCTGACCAGAACTAACCGATAGCACAGGACTACCGCTTACTTGCTTCAAATTTAAGGAATACCTCGGCTGATGCAGAGTTGTTCAACTTTTCACGTAAGTCTCTAACATATAAATATTTGAGAACTCATGACATGAGAATAATACTTGTAAAACAACGTGTTTTAGCTCCGTTTGTCGGCTACAGAAGAACATAAACAAATAAGAAACATGAAATCGCCATCTTAAAAAAATGGAAGGTAAAATTATTTGTGTGATATGCTTGTCAGCCACTAGATGGTACCATCTGTAGCGTTGATGATTGACTACATGTTTATTAAAATGACCAATAAGATGTGATAATTCCATATAAATATGAAACATCGATCTGACTGATCTTCCAATGTTTAATCAGAAGATTGTTACTTTACTTATTCAGGGACCATAAACACACTATGTATTAATTCAGACAGTCAAGTATATAGTTAATAAAAATGAATGTATTTCTTTTCCCTAAACTGATGATTATACATGACAAGGTATGAATAATGATATGTATGTGAAGTGGATTAATGTGATGAGTGGGATGTTGTCATGGAAGCTAGATGTCTTGGCAAAACCTTTCTTAAGTATCTGAGAGAATTTGTGAAGTCTGGGTCATAAAAGAGTTTGGCTTTATGTTTGGTAAACTACAGATTTGTTTATAAAAAAACATTTGATGCAGTCTGTATCGAATCTACGCACCCTTATGTGGAGATTCGTGTGCCATCCAGGGGGTCAAGAGGTCGTGATGGACACTGCCAGTGGAGTGGACCTCTCGATATCAGGAACCCGTAGATTAGCTCTGAGAGGACTCGTCTAGTCTGAGATCTCTCCAGGTGATGACAGGAAGCTGAAATGCTTGTTTGCGTCCAAGGCTGTTTGATGGCTCTTAGAAGAGTCATTTTGTGTGACATCACCCACGGCATTGCAGAGAGGCTTTGACCTGAGGTCAAAAGATGGGACGGTTTCAAAATAGCTTCTTCCCCGATTTGGCCGAATCGGGAGTCAGCTGGAAACTGAATTAATCCCAGAAACAATTCTGTATTATCAACACATTGCTTATAAATTTAGCTAATCAGAATTTGACACGTTTGATTTTCAAAACATTTCTCAGACGTCCCGCCATCCTTCAGATACAAAGATGGTTAACCCCTTGTGAGAACGTTTTATGAATGTTTTAAAACACTTATGTGAAGTCAATATTAACATTAATAATTATCTCATTATAATGTCTTTATTATAATGTCTATGAGTGTAGATATTGATTAACTTGTTAAATCAAACACATACAGATCCGGTGTAGACAAGATCTGAAATGGATCATTGCAGGAACAATATTAATTTTAAAGCATCAGTGATTAATGCACTGATTATTCAAATATTTGATTTGAACATCTTGTTAATTCAACACATATGATTATTTCAATTTATAAGCTTAAGGTCACGTAGGAACTTCAATTGACTTTTATTCAGAGTGAAGGTGCAGCAGTCTGGGAAGAGAGGTGGAGCTGAGGGTGGGGCTGTTATGGTTGGAAAAAAATAGCGAACATAGCTATTAGCTAACTTAACTAGCCCAGCTAAGAAGGGTAGCCCACCCGAGCGGGCGCCTGGTCATCATGCAAGGCTGAATTCATGCTGGTTGCCTCTGGACTAATATTATGGACTGTTGTGATCTGCACCCTGGCCGCTACATGCTCCGCCTCTGTCAAAGCTCAGCAGGAGCTTCATGCTAAATCAAGCTAACAGAGGTTTTTCAGGTGTTTTTAGTGAGCGAAACATGGTAAAGCAACTCCAAAACCAACACAAAGAGCAGCGGTGTTTGTGTACTTTCCCTCAGAGAGCTACACAGGCAAGCAGCACAACTAAAGCCTGGCATGGAAGCCATGCATATGTGCGGTGTGTAACGTTTTGTAAGTGGTCACAAATGATAAACTGACAATGATTTTTCAAGATATTATCAACTGGAACTTTAACCAAATGAAACATGATCTTGGATGTCCGGTGAGTATGCTGGCCATGCAAGAACTGGGACATTTTCAGCTTCCAAGAATTGTGTACAGATCCTTGCAACATGGGGCCGGGTATTATCTTGCTGAAACACGAGGTGATGTTCATGGATGTACGGCACAACAATGGGCCTCAGGGTCTCATCACGGTATCTCTGTGCATTCAAAATACCATCAATAAAATGCACCTGTGTTCTTTGTCCATAACAGATGCCTGCCCATACCATAACCCCACCACCACCATGGGCCACTCGATCCACAACATTGACATCAGCAAAGCGCTCACCCACACACGCTGTCTGCCATCTGCCCTGAACAATGTAAACCGAGATTCATCCATGAAGAGAACACCTCTCCAACGTGCCAGAGGCCATCAAAAGCGAGCATTTGCCCACTCAAGTTTGTTACGGCGACGAGCTGGAATCAGGTCAAGACCCCGATGAGGACGACGAGCATGCAGTTGAGCTTCCCTGAGACGGTTTCTGACAGTGTGAGCAGAAATTGTTTGGTTATGCAAACCAATTGTTTCAGCAGCTGTCTGAGTGGCTGGTCTCAGACGATCTTGGAGGTGAACCTGCTGGATGTGGAGGTCCTGGGCTGGTGTGGTTACACGTCATCTGCGGTTGTGAGGCCAGTTGGATGTACTGCCATATTCTCTTGAAACGCCTTTGGAGACTAGCCTAGTGAACTAGACCAAATTCTTGCTTTGCAAAGTTTGGTCTAGGCATGCTCCATTGGAACCTCTGCAGCTCCTACCAGGACTCTGGCTAGCCAATCACAGCTCTCTAGAGGGGTTTCAAACACATAAAGAGCTGTGATTGGTCCATAATGGTGGGCCAATCATAGTGCTCTATCTGCTTAGTGAACAAATCACAGAGCTTTATCCGCTTTGTGGGCCAATCAGGGCACTCTATATGCCTGGTGGGTGGGATGATGCAACAGAGTGAAACAAGAGTATGTCACATTCATTGTCCAGTGGAATGCAGAGATCATTTGAAAGACAACGGTAGAACCTGCCCCACAATCGAGAGCCGTCAATGGAGCGTGGCCAGACTAAATAATACATTTATTTAGTCTGGCTTGCCAGGCTATTTGGAGACGGCTTATGGTGGAGAAATGAACATGCAATGCACGAGCAACAGATCTGGTTGACATTCCTGCTGTCAGCATGCCAATTGTACGCTCCCTCAATGCTTGTGGCATCTGTGGCATTTTGCTGTGAGACCAAACTGCACATTCCAGGGTGGCCTTTTATTGTGGGCAGTATAAGGTACACCTGTGCACTACTCATGATGTCGGATCAGCATCTTGATGTGGCACACCTGTGAGGTGGGATGGATTATCTCAGGAAAGCACAGGTGCTCACTATCACACATTTAGACTGATTTGTGAACAATGTTTGAGAGAAATGGTGATATTGTGTATCTGGAATGAATTTTAGATCTTTAAGTCCATCTCATGAAAAATCGGAGCAGAAACAAAGGTGTTGTGTTTATATTTTTGTTGAGTGTATGTATATATGGAAAAAGAGGGGAAAGCTGTAATAAAAATCCCCCTCTGAACCAGGGGAAGAAGAAAAATAAAACCCTTCTCTACCTGAAGTCAAGCCAACAGAAAAAAACACCCTCCTTCACTGTGGAGCAAACCACTTGGCCCACTTCTACTCAAAATTCACCTTCCTTTTAGAAAAGGAATAGCCACCCTGAGCAGCACCTATGTGTATGTGTGTGTGGTCAGATTAAACACTCAATCACCCAACACCCAAGCTGCACCTTGTCTGAACAAGGTCTGACAAACTGGGCCCCAGAACTCTTCAGGCTAATCTACCAAAATGAACGCAGCTACCTACTCTGCTTGGCAGAATAGAAGAGATGAAAAAACTCATACAGAGCTGCAACACCCCCGAGTTATCATGAATGGTTTTCTGAACCAGGCTGTAAACATGTTTATTTCTGCTGTGAATCTGGTATTTGTAACATGGAAGTAAAAGAGGATTTGTTTACTTGTGGTTCCAGCCCCTAGTGGATGAGAGTGGAACTGCAATTTTTGCCTCTTCCGTGTTGGCTTCATAAAATCCCCAAAATTGTAGGGGTCTGGTTCCAAGACTGCTGCCTTTTCAGACTCTTATTGTGAAGGATTAAATAACTTCCTGTTGCAGATATTTCTGCTGAAGGAGCCAAACGACTCCTGAGTTTCCCTGGTATAGAAAAGAAAACTGTTTTTATAACATGAAATGCAGTCTTTGTCGGGTTGAAATAGTTTGCTTTTGACCTTTTTCATTCAACTCTTAAAACTTTTTTCTCTTCCTCAGCACTAATCTGCGGATCTTTCCGTAAGATAAAAACCATTAAATGTTCCACATGTGTGTTTTATCTGTCATCATTGTTCCCTCATAGTTCTAACACACCACTTACCCATTTGTTTCTACGTGATATGAATGTAAAACTTCTCACAGCTCCACAAAGTTGCTTTATTGATTTATAGAGCATGAATAGATTTTCAGTCATACAGAGCAAGTAACCGGTATAAGTGTTTAAATCTTCAGATGTAGCAAAAATCATAAGAAATGTAATTAAAGCAAGGTGGTTATGGGGTTTACATAGTTCCAGGGTCACAACTGAAAAACAGACCAATAATAATAATAATAATATTAATAATAATTGAGGCACCTTAAGATAGTTGATGCAACATCAATCTGAACGTTATTTCCTCAACCTGGCTGTAATGCAATAAATAATTTGAGCTGAGGTTTTGTAGAAGGCTTAAAATATTCACTTGGGGTCATGAGCGCTGAAGAATTCGATATGACATTTTAGAGGGAAGTTTAAAAAGGAGCAATAAACGATTCACCTCAGAAACAATGAAGGTCGGTGCTCCCCTGTCTGATTGTCAACCTCTCTTTTGTGCTTTTTCACAAGGGGGCAGTCGCTGCAAGTTAAATAATCAGTTCCAACATGTGGAAAAATCCTCCTGTGGTTCTCAACTCTTTCATGTCACAGTGTGTGAGAAAACAGCGGAGTCTTCACCTCCCACGCGAGGGGCCACAGCCAGCGCTTCGCTAGTCAAAATAAAAACCTTCAAATGGTACGTTTCTACAGAAGCGTCCTGTTTTTTCTGTAGCGCGTCCATATTCCTCACTGATAAGTGCCACAAGAAAACAGACCTTCATCCAAGCACGTTGCCTTCACACAGGCTGTGCGTCTCCTTCCTGAGCAGTGCATCTAAATAGATTAGCGCTTATTTTATACATACATTTATTTTTGCATGAAGTCTTTGATGGAAGCCAGACCGCGCGCGTGCGCGCGCGTGTGTGTGTTTTGTCCTTTTGTCAGTTTGACTGGAATTCTAGAAATGTTAAAGGATAAAAATAAATAAGTTTCAGCAGTTCAACATGACAAAAACAAACACAAAAAACCAGGAACACAACAGAACATCCTTCAGTCTTGCATTAGCATTTCCCTCCAGTTGAAACTGTGATTGGGTCCATGTGTCAGGGGCAAGATGGGGGGGTCGACCAGCTGCCACACGCCTGTCTCTCCCAGTTCTTCACATGCACAAAATCCCAAGTAAGGAATCTGGAAATGAGGCAGACAGAGGTGCTGGCTGTTATGAACGCTGAATGGAGGAAAGCTGAAGAGGCTACAGCAGAGATGAAAAGGAGCTAAAGCAGACAACGGACCTTTCGGACAACTTGGACAAAGTCCTTGGAGTTTTGGGGGCTGAGGCCCTGTAACTGGCGAGTGCAAGCCTCTAGGGAGGAAGCATGGGCCACTATCAGGACCGTATTTCCTGTGTGAAAGAGGTGGAGAACATGGAGACACATTCCATAAATACTTCCAAGATTAGAGTTTTATTATTTCAGTAGGTGCTAAATGTGCCTGTTTTTACTCAAGAAAATGTAAAAAGTGTTTAAATGCATCCATCTAAGTGGGAAAGTGGCAGCCTGAAGATAAATGTGGGCCATCACCATGGTTACGCTTTACCCTGATTTTTGCACTCAGCCAGAATCTCTCGGGTCACTTGGAAGCTCCTGCTGATGTAGGTGTCGTAGGACTCCGACACCGACAACTTACTCACTGGAACATGAGGTCTGGGGACAAACAGCATAATATATTACACTGTAGCATCAAAGACAGAACGCTGCTGTCAGCCAGGCTTCACACCTGTAGGTTGTGTCCACGCTCAGGTTAGCGGCCGCCAGCTCAGCCGGTGGGATCCAGGTGGGTAAACATGTGCCTGAGACCCATTTGGTCCATTCAAACAAGCCAGGCTCCACACGGATCTTTGTCTTTGTCTCCTGCTGGAGACCTGCCACACATTCAACAGGAAAAAGAAGCACATGTTTGTGTATTTTCTTCTTTTCAAAGGAGCTAGAATTTGACAAAAAGAGGAGGTCCAACCCTGCAGAATGTTCTGAGCAGTCTGGATGCAGCGAAGAGAGGGAGAGCAGTAAACAAAGTCTACAGCCGTGTGGCTTTCTAACAGGGCTTCCCCTGAAATCAGACAGAACACATCATTGTTTACATCATTATTTGTTTACAGGCTGTACGTATGTATCAACTCAACACGAGTCATACAGACCTACTAGTCGGGCCTGGGTGGAGCCAAACACAGTAATTGGACAATCTTTATCGTAGTCCCGGTGACCGCCGTTTCTGGCCGGAAGGCTGGACGGCATGTTGAGGTTAGAACGGATGTAGCGGCCTAAACACACACACAAACGAAAAGAGGTGAACGCTAACTCCACAAAGTCCTCGTGTCAGCTTATGTCGTTGTTTACTCTGAGTGCTAACCTTTGCAATCAAAGCACTGAGTGACCCAGTGTTTACCAAACACCACATCCATCCTCTCGCCATGGCGACACACAAACAGCCTCATCCTGGACAGAGACGGAGAACCAGTTGGCCGCGACACCTAGGGGGATAATTATTTTAACTTTGTAGATTTAAAGATAACTCGAGCAGCTTTTAGCTCAGATTTTGCAATCTGACGAGTTACCTGCATCGGAGGACAGAGGCCAGCAAGGCTGGACGGATCCATAAGACTGTCCAGAAGACTGTCATTTAGCTGTCCATCGAATAATAGCCCACCCACAGGGCTACCAGAGGTAGAAGGAGAGGCACAGTTGAGGAGGGAGTGCGATCTGGAGATCAGACAGAAAAAACAACTCAGCGTTATTTAGTCAGGTCGCTTTAACACTTCCCAGCGTAGTTGCCTGAAATGCCGTTTCCTCCTTCCTTACCCATGAACCACCCATGTGTCGGACTCATCTGCACGGCTCACGTAGTTCTCAGGCAGCAGGCCGGACAGCCCCGTGCCCAGCGACGTGCCGTACACCCAGCCCTCACTAGCTGTGCTCTGCTCCACCGAGGACATGAAGATGAAGTCTCCCTGCAGCAGCTCCAGCTCGTCGTCGTTCTGAGGCACGTACGGGTACATCACCTGGAGCGTCTACAGTGGGGAGGTGGTTAACGGTTGATCGGGAGTGAGGATTTTCAGTAATGATGAAACATCTACCTCGTGGTTAGCAAATCTAATATCTCTGGAGAGGAGCACCGCCAGCCAGTCACAGCCGGACGCCACGTTGATATTTTTGGCCAGTTTCTCCAAAAGTGGAAGGTGACTGTCGTTGAAGTGGTACGCCAAAGTGACATGAAGTTGCTTCTTATGGGGCTCAACGTGAACATCTGGAGGAGGAGGAAAGAAACACATCCATATTTACTCCATTATAGAAACGTTCAAACTGCCCAGTAACAAACTGGGTTTGCTAACGGGTTTACGTCCTGTAATCACAAACCTGCTTTAGACTCTGCTTCCGTGGCAAAGTCAGCAGCAAAACTCTTCAGAACCTCGGCCATCTGCTCCTCCACGAAGAGGCCAATGAAGGAGGAGGAGGTGTAGAGCTCTAGGGGGAGGGGCATGGGTATCTGACCCTTCCACTTGGCCACAGTGCTCTGGAGAGCGTCAGACAGAGCTTCCACTTTCTCGTCAGCACACTGAGCACAAAAGGGGATTGGAAACGGTAACTCAGGAAGATTACCAATGTTAAAACGATTAGCACTCAAGTCATCACTGAGAAACGCTTAAAATACACCTAGAACCAACAGAACCCGACAGTTTAAACCCCCACCCATCCCCCGGTGGGCTCCGGCTCCGAGGAAGGTTTTCCAAGGAGGAAACCGTTAGAATTCCAGACAAGAGCACCACCTGTGTGGTTTATGTACTTGCTGCTTACTCTGATGGTGTGGCTAAGTTAGCCGCCAACATGGCTAACATGAGGTCATACGTGTGACCATACAAAATAAAATATTTTATGGCAGCCCACTTTAAAGCTCCTAAAGATGGATTAGCATAGCACCACCTGACGGATTGGACACTTGTTAGTTAGGATTAGTTTCAACTTTAGAAATGATTTGTGTGGTTTTGCTTCTCAGACAGATGCAGATGTGCACAGCTGGAAGCAAACAGCCAAGATTTGAAAACCAAAAACGGAGGCTCACCAGTTCATGTGATCACTTCTGTTTTAGACAGGCACAGGCACACACACACACACACACACACACACACTTATTCATCAGGTTCAACTTCAGCGTGCCACATCATGTTTGGTGCTCGTGAGCATCCGCGCCCCTTAGGTTGAGGACTGATGCGTGAACAGAAGGGGTGAACGTTACCACAAAGAACTGGCAGAGGGTGATGTGGGGGAAGATGTTGTGGGCCTTGTTCTTGCCACAGGAAAGGCGAGACTGCTTCCAGAAGTGTGAGAGCTGCTGGAGCAGAGGTCCGCTGGGTCGCAGGTATAACACATACTCTCTGGGCAGAGGGTCATCCAGGAACGGGTCGTCCAGGTGGGAGAAGAGCCTGGACATTAGGAAAAGACATCAGATAGTGTCCAGCAGGGGGCAGTGATGCTGAGTAACTGCTGGGTTATTTCCTTTAGAACAGCAGTTTGGGTTCCTGCTCGGTTCTAACATGAGAAATTAGTTAATGTGTCTCACCAGTCACAGGCTGCCTGGACATTTTTGCCTCCTGTTGACACTAAAGCTTTTAATCTGAAAAGAAGAAAGAAAGAAAGATGAAATCAGTCACAAAATCAGCAACTTCTGCTCCAGACCTGCTTATTTTTCCGAGTAAACGTCATCTTTCCACATGACTAAAACCAACTGGCCAAACGGAGGAAACACACAATCATCGGTAACTCAGCTTCATTATTCAGAGGTGCACGAATCTTCAGCTCAGAAAACAAAGCTGATTGTCTCGAGCAGGGCCGTGCAGAGACCTTTGACGGGGTGGGTGCTCAAAGTAAAAAAAAAGGGGCACTTATAGAGCAAAACTTTTAAACAGATTCACAATCCAACAAGTTAGAAAACAGATAATGAGACCCTTGGGTTCAAACAACATAATAAAAATATATCAATTAGTGTAATTAATGTTAGTGTTAATGTTAATTAATAAATAATTGTTTTAGTTTATAAATCTGACTTATATCTAGATATGTTACAACCACATTTCTGCCCCTGATCCGAGTCCAAGTTGTTTGATTATCTTCCAATACTGAGTCCTGTTCTGATACCTGGTGGTGATGCAATGAGTTACAAAAGAGGAAAGAAGTCGTCCTTCTGCCATTGTTTTAGCCTTAAAAGTCACTCATTCAGGAAGTAAATTTAACAGTATTCAAGAAAATTTATTGCTATTGCACAGGTGTACAACCAAATTGACTTTGCACTTACTAACGACAGCTCTAGTAAGAGGTAGTAAAATAAATGCAACCACAGAGAGTTATCCAGTGTGATCTACAGCTATGTTAGCTGAGATCTTTTTCCTGTCAGTAGAAAATTCTTGATCCCATTCCATGATCTCACTGAACTTACCACTAACCATGAGAGCTCTGCTACCAACCTAACTACACCCTTTACACAAAGGCACCATCATCACATACGTGGCAGGAGTCTCAGATAAACTTAGAAGAATCTTCTCCAAACACAACATCCCGGTAAACTTTAAACCCAACAACACCCATCACACAGAAAATGGTCCATCCAGAAGACAAAACACCCAAACAGAAGCTCAGTGGCGTCGTTTATGCTGTCCATTGTAGTGAGGACTGTCCAGATCTTTACATTGGGGAAACAAAACAACAATCACACAAGAACATAACCTTTATGAACACAAATGATTTATGGGAGACCTTTCAGTCAGAGTTCAGGGCAGGTCACAGCACTGAATCTGCTCTTTTAATGGTTTTTAATGACACGTTTTTAGCCTGTGACATGGATAACGATGTTGTCCTACTATTGCTGGACTTATCTTTTGATACAGTCGACCACGAAGTCCTTCTGGACCGACTACAGCATTGGGTGGGGATAACTGGGCAGGCCCTCCAATGGATTCGCTCCTACCTTCATGACAGGACATTTAGTGTTCAGATGGGTGAGGTGATGTCAGCCTGCATGAGACTTCGTTGGGGTGTGCCACAGGGCTCTGTCCTTGGTCCTCTCCTATTTGCAGTGTATTTTCTTCCTCTTGGAGTCCTCCTTCGTCGGCATAATGTGAAATTTCATTTTTTTGCTGATGACTGCCAGATCTATCTCCCCCTTCGAAGTGGGGAGGACAGATCTGTTTCTCCTTTACTGGACTGTTTGAAGGACATAAAATGTTGGATGGCTTCTAATTTTTTTGCACCTAAATGAGAGCAAAACGGAAGTCATATTACTTAATCTTGGCAGAAGAAATGGCTCAGGTGCTGATATTGACCTTGGCCCATTGACCCCCTATGAAAAGAAAATAGTCAGTAATTTGGGGATAAAAACTGAGTCCTCACTTAATCTTGACACTCACGTAAATACGGTGGTGAGGTCCTGTTTTTTTATTATCTGAAACAACTATCCAGGATCAGGCCTCTGCTGTCCAGAGCTCATCTGGAGTCTGTGTTGCATGCTTTTGTCCTGCCCCGTCTGGACTACTGTAACGCTCTGTATGCCAGTCTGGGCCAGTGCATGGTTGCACAGCACCAATTTGTAAAGAACTCAAAGGCTAGGTTCCTGACAGGTACTAGATGCCAAGATCACATTACCCCAGTGCTGGCTACTCTGCACTGGCTCCCGGTGCAATATCGAGCTACATTTAAAATCTTAACTCTCGTTTATAAGGCCCTCCAGGGCAGTGCCCCCTCTTACATTACTGCACTTTTGCACAGGTATGTTCCATCTCGGTCTCTTCGCTCAGCCTAGCAGGGACGCCTGGTGGTCCCCCGGTCGAAATATCGATCAAGGGGTTATCGTGCATTTTCTGTTTTTGCTCCAACTCTGTGGAATGAATTGCCATTGAGCATTAGGCAGGCGCCGTCCCTTCAAGTCTTTAAGTCTCGTCTAAAGACTCATTTCTATTTGATTGCTTTTCAGCGGTAGGGTTCATAGAATTGCCCTGACAATATGGTTTTTAATACTTCTTCTTTTTGATCAGGATGCTTGATCTTATTTTGTCCACCATTTGTTTTTAATTGAATAGTCTCATTCTGTTACCTCTCTGTATTTGTAATATTGCTTGCTTGTTATTTTATGATTTTATGTTTTTATCTTGCTCTTATGCCCAGGTACTGGGAATGTTTTTTATGATGCTGTTCAGCACCTTGGGCTTCTGATAACATTGCGAAAGGCGCTCTACAAATAAAATTGATTGATTGATTGATTGATTGATTGATTGATTGGTTGATTGATTGATTGATTGATTGATTGATTGATTGATTGATTGATTGATTGATTGATTGATTGATTGATTGACTGATTGATTGACATAACACAACACAGGAGAGCCGCCTCTTTAGGTCAACACTCTGCAGTCCACCTACACCTGAAGGACAAGGGACACACCTTTGAAGATGACAAAGTCCACATTCTGGACAGAGAAGATACATGGTTTGAGAGAGGAGTAAAAGAAGCTATCTATGTCAAACCTGAAAACCCCACTTTAAATAGGGGAGGGGCTTAGGATTCACCTTTCCAGCACCTATAATGCAGCTTTGGATCTCATTCCTAAGCAGTTTCAGTCTAGGTCACACTTTCCTGCACCTAATCAACACAACGACTCACCCTCAGTAGAGGCCAACGACTCATCAGGATATGGAGAGGCGGGGTACTCAGAGTAGTTTCTGCTCGTTAAATAACAACAGACAGCTACAGCTAATAAGCTTGACTCTCCCAAATTCTAGTTAGAACTGACAAAGCTCCTCAGAGGAGAAGTGAAATGTTTTAAAGAAACCAAAGAAGTCCAGTTGCCTTCATTTGAACACTTTGGAGTAATAGTCAATAATAAAAAAATACATAATATAGTCATAAAACGTATATAATTATGCTCACATTCACTTTTACCATCTATTTGTGGGAGACGGGAAATTTATCACGGTTAACACTCTTATGACCATAAATTAACTGTTTTTTTGTTTTGTTTTATGGCTGTAAAATTGTAATAAAAGTGTAAAATGTTTGCAACTCTGCTCCTTTTTTCAGAACAACCTCAGCCTTCAGTGGCTGGTTTGTATTTAGTGTTTATGTTTATTAAAGTCTGTAAAACTGAAAATGAAATGAAAAAAAAAACGGATTTGAATTTTCTTTACATTTATTACTAAACAGGAACTTCTAAATGACTTGAGCAAACTATTTCAAAAGAACTATTTAAAATCAGAACTGTGTTGCAAACACTCAGAAAACAGTGTGAACCCTGGCCTCACGTTTACCAGTTTAATGACTGTCTGTGACCACAGGTCTAAGAACGTTGGTTACGTATTGTAACCCCAGATTCTATGAGTCTAGTCGCAGCCCTTAAGCGAGCTGCTATTGGAAGGATGATCTCCGCATCAGCCAATCATGAAGAGCTTAAATGTACGCCCACCAATAGTGGGCCCCCTCGTGGTATATAACCGCAGTGACCCCACTGCTCGCCTCCAATGGCTCTTATTCCATCATAACCAGTGGGGCCAAGTGGCTTAAGGGCTGCGACTAGACTCATAGAATCTGGGGTTACAATACGTAACCAACGTTCTATTTCGTCTAGTCTTAGCCCTTAAGCGAGCTGCTATTGGAATAAAGCGCAGCTGGATGGGTTTACGCCACACTGGTTAACACAACCAATGGACACACCCAATCAATCTCCTTTAGTGAGGGAGGTTCAGCCTCAGACCAGGTGTAATAAAAATGAACTTGTCATCTGTTGTATAATTGCTTTATATAAGTTATTGATCACTACTGTTTGTCAATCACACTTATCATGAGGATGTAATCAAGGGTAATCATGGTAGAGCCGAACATAATGTGATCATGAGGATGTAATCAAGGTAATCATGGTAGAGGTGTGCAGCTTTGCACGCACATCAGGGAATGTATAAGGAGCAGAGCAGGGCTCAGGGGGGTTAGAGCTGCTTGGAGGATTCTACCTGACGAGGTTCATGGATTACATGTGTTCAGTTCTTCACCTATCATGGATTACGTTTTCTAACTGGGGTGTTCAGCTCTCCACCCATAAGCAACGGTAAGAAAAATGTTTCGTTCATGATTGATAACTTGTATGAATGCCGGTTGAATAAAGCCTTGTTGTTCATCTGATATTCAAGTTGTGTTTCATTGTTTCTGGCGTCGACTTGACAACGATCCTGATTAAATAAATATAAAGTGTAAAAAGAGACTTTGAGTCTTTTAAGGTAATTAAAATAAAATAAAACATTTTATTTTAGAACATTTTTGGCGTCACGAACAGGATCAGTCAAGCTATTCCAGCAACAATGAAGTGTTTTTGGAGAAGCAAAAAGGAGCCGAGAGCTTCTGGGGAGGGAACGCCGATTCCCGTGCCGATTCCCGGCTGGGAAACGGAGGAGTTCCGAACCATTGGTGATATGTTAAGGCAGCGCGGTGGACGCCCTGGGCCGTGGGGAGAGTTAAATGGAGTGGTCAGCCCCGCCGTGGTGCTGGACCGTTTGACGCGGATAGAAGTTAAAGAAAAAGCGCCGCTGGCAGGAGTGAGAGATATGATGTGGCTTTTTGCAGAAGCATGGAAAAAACAGGAGTTAGAATTGAGCAGTTGTAGAGAGCGAGCGGCGCAGGAGAAAATCCATGCTGAAGAAGTTGAAAAATCATGCTCAGAGTTTGAGCAGAGAGTGTGTGTGATGGGGAAAGAGCTAAAGCATGCTCAGAATGTTTTGGATAAAACGCTGACTTTTGTGTCTCGAGCGCAAAGGAAGGAAAAGAAGCGACCTCGTAGAACAGGTCCTGCTCAGATCCGGGCGTTTGTAAAGAATGTTGGTGAAGATTGGGACCCGGAGAAGTGGAACGGGGATCTTTGGGGGGATGATGAGGAGGAGGAGTGGGCGATTAAACCTGACCCACCACCTCAGCCCTTGTATCCATCATTACAGGGGATAAAGATGTCAGAACAAAGACCTATTACTAGGCGTCGGCGAGAACAGCAAATTATTCCACCAATACTGGTAGATATGGTGGATGATCAGGGACGGCCGGAACTCGATGAGGCGGGTAATATAAGAAGGATGTTACAACAGCAGCCACAACCCGCCCCTAGGCTGCTAACAACGCTAGAGGATTATTCACAAGATGAGTTAAATCACATGAATGGGAAGCTGAAACAGCGCCCAGGCGAACCAACTGACTCCTGGCTTAATCGCCTTATGGAGGATGGCGCGTGTGATATAGCCATAGATGCCGGTGATGCCATGAGATTTTCAGGATTAAGTACTGATGCACAGATAAATGCTGAATACCGGGCTACAGTCCGGGCATTGCCAGCTGATGAAGATTTCAATGTGGGGGATGCATATGCTCTGGCATGTCATGTAATCTATCCTACCACGGCGGACTGGTCTGAGATTAAAGGGCAATGGCAGACAGTGAGAGATGCCATTCAGCGGCTCACCAGACTCACTATTAGAGAGCAAGTGGCTCGAAACGGGGGAGCTGGAGTGGTGGACTGTAACATCTCTAAGGCAACTAGAGATCACCTCATCAGACATGCCCCACCACATTATAAACCCATGGTGACCAGCTTGTTGTTTGGCGCGGCAGACCAGACTTTTGCCGCGATAAAAGATCGTCTTGGCGAACTCACCACGCTGGGTGATTGGTCTGAGACGAGGAGAGAGGGAGCTAGAACTGAAAATAAACCCAGGATTGATCCACATTCAAGGGGTCGTAAAGGGGGGGCAATGGGCCCCTCTAGAACAGATCTGTGGAGGGCACTGCGACAAGCGGGAGTGCCGTTTGAGGAGATTGATGGATTGCCCACTAATGCATTGATGGAGAAATGCAGACAAATGGGACTGAAGGTCCATTGTCAGTTCAGACATTGTCCTGAAAAGGACGACAGGATGTCTGTGTCAGAATTGGCTGGAATGTTGCAGAATGTGATCAGGGAGGTGGCGTCGAAGCCTGCTGAACCTTCCGCCCCTCCCAAGGAATCTTCAGAGGAGGAGAGTTTAGATGAGTGTTATCAGGTGGCGGCAGTGAAGCGTAGAAAGAAAAAACAGCACCGAAGGGAACATGATGATGAATAGGATGAAGGTCAAGCTCAGGTTGTTGCCAGTGCCTCAGGATGGTCAATAAATGATATCAGACCACATGTGGAATTACAGATTTATTGGAAAAAATCAGTACAGACAGTAATGGCATTGGTTGACACTGGGGCGGAGGCCTCGGTAATTCATGGCAATCCTGATAAAATAAAGGGAAACATTGTACCTTTGATTGGACTTGGGGGGCAGATGTTAGTAGGAAAGGGAGTAACTTTGCCCTTAAAAATAGGAAATCAACCTATTAGAAATTACAGTGTAGTAGTGGCTCCTGCAAGGGAATGGATTATTGGAATGGATATATTGGCCGGAATGACTCTTCATCTGAAACATGGTCGATTTTGTTTTGGTATAAACAGAATCCACACCATTTTGGTAGGCAAGGTCAAAATGACACCTTTTCCCATTCCTGAAGCAACACAGGTGGTATCACAAAAACAATACCGGTTGCCTGGGGGTCAGAAAGAAATTACGGACACTATTAAAGAATATCTGGAGGCAGGAGTTTTGAAAACATGCACCACACGGTGGAATAATCCCTTATGGCCAGTGAAGAAATCAGATGGTTCATGGAGAATGACTGTGGATTATAGAGCGCTGAATAAACATATTCCTCCTTTAACGTCTGCGGTTCCGGATGTTATCACGATTGTGGAAAGGGTGCAGCATCACTCTGGTACATGGTATGCGGTGATAGATTTGGCCAATGCTTTCTTTACCATACCTATCCCTGAGGACAAGATGGAACAGTTTGCCTTTACATGGGAAGGAAGACAGTACACCTTCACCAGATTACCACAAGGGTATTTGCATTCACCCACAATCTGTCATAGGATAGTGGCTGAAAATCTGTCGACTTTAAAGATCCCATCAGGCATATTGCTATCACACTACATTGATGACATCATGATTCAGGGAAACACTAAAGAAGAGGTTGAGCAATTGCTCCCACTTCTGATAACACATATGAAGAATCATGGATGGGAGATAAATCCAGCGAAAGTGCAGGGATCTGCACAGTCAGTGAAGTTCTTGGGAATTATCTGGAATAGAGGGGAAAGAGAGATAACAACTAAAGCTAAAGAGAAAATAGCACGGTTCCCAATACCACAGAATAAGACAGATGCTCAGCGGTATATTGGGTTGTTCGGGTTCTGGAGACACCACATACCTCATTTAGGACAGATCTTGCAGCCTATGTACAGATGTACTCGGAAGAAGGAGCAGTTTGAATGGGGGCCTGATCAACAACAGTCATTTGAACTAGCTAAAGAGGCAATCCAACAAGCTGTTTCTTTGGGGAAGATGTTGTCAGGACCAGTGGAGTTACAGGTTTCTGCAGTAAATGATTATGCTAACTGGAGTTTGTGGCAAAAACAAGATAGGTGCAGAAAACCTTTGGGTTTTTGGTCTAGGAAATTGCCTGATGCAGGACAGAGATATACTCCATTTGAAAAACAGTTGTTGGCATGTTATTGGGCTTTGTTGGAAACAGAAGCCCAAACTGTGGGGCATGAAGTAATGATGAGAACACATATACCCATTCTAACTTGGGTCATGAGCAATCCTACAACTCACCGCATAGGGGTAGCTCAAGAGGCTAGCATCATAAAATGGAAGTGGTATGTTTCTGAGAGAATGAAACCAGGAGAAAAAGGAGTATCAATGCTCCACGAGCAAGTGGCAGACGTTCCAGAAATGGATGAAGTGCCTTTTGAGGTAAAACCAATCCAGGATTCTCCTGTGAAACTGGGGGTAAGATGGAGCGAACTCACCCCAGAGCAGCAGGAGCGAGCCTGGTTCACTGATGGTTCCTGTCAATATGTGGCAGGAACCAGGAAATGGAAGGCTGGGGCATTTAACCCTGGTACACAACAAGTTATGGAACTCACAGGGACAGGAAAGAGTAGTCAATGGGCGGAGTTGAAAGCAGTACACATGGTAATAATGGCGGCTGGGGTGCAGGGAGTAAGTATTTATACTGACTCCTGGTCAGTAGCCCAAGGAATGTTAACTTGGATGCCAACTTGGCATGCTACACAATGGAAGATACATTCAAAAGAGGTTTGGGGAGCTGACCTATGGAAGGACATTTGGGAGAAATGCCAAAATATTCCTGTGTCAGTATTACATGTGGATGCTCATACTAATAACAATGATCCTGAATCCCTGCATAATCAGACTGTAGATAAGATAGTGAAAATTCAGGCTGTAAGACAATCAAGTCCTGGATTAGCCAAATGGGCTCACGTTACTGCTGGACATTGGGGTGTGCAGGGAACATTGAAATGGGCGAGGGACAGAGGAATAGATCTCATCATTGATGATATTAAAACTGCCATAGAAGATTGTGAACCTTGTCAGCATACAGGTAAAGAACCGTTGGTACTGGAAAAAGGAGACAAGATAGCTCAGTTAGTAATCAAACGGTGTGTAATGTCCAAAGTTGAAGAGATTACTAAACCTACCACTATCACTCAGAGGGGTGAAACTGGGTTTGGATCATCAGACTTTACTGCGGGGGCAAAAGTGTGGGTGGAGCAGCTCAATGGTCCTCCCAGAGCTGGAGAGGTTATTGCACAGGGAAAAGATGCTGTGGTAAGTGTATTGTTCCCCGGAGAGGAAAAATGGATTAATATTCCGATAAACAAATGTTACAGGAGAGAAAATTAATGCTTGTCATTCTATCTGCAGTTTTGTATGTATCCCATAGGCGGGTGTCTGAGTGACGGTGGTTGACTGGGTCCCCTTCCCCTACAAAAGGATTGAACCCTTGTCGAGGCGATGGATGGGCTCCGCGGACCTGGTGGTGTCGGATGTTTGGTCATCGTCCTCCATGTCCTCGCTGTCATCGCACTGAGGGCACATTTCTGTTGGGGGCTCACGGAAGGACAAGTGTTGGAAGAAGGGGTCATGGGCCATCTGGAATTGGTTAGCAGTATGTCCAACCGCACTCAAGGCACATTCACATGCAGAGCAAATGACGCTTGCTACTTGGGAAACCTAACATCTACCGGTAAGATGTACCGGTGCAGAGGATGTCTTAAATTCCGAGGAAGGGTGATCAGCCCGGGGGTGTTGGTTCAAGGATCAACAGTAACCTTTAATTCTGCAGCGCGCATCTGTGCATACCATCAGGGGAATGGTACTTGCATACAAAATGGCACAAATTGGAGTATGAAGGTTGATCACGATTTCTGGATCAGGAATGGAACTGTAATCACAGGAGGACACGCCTATTTGTACATATTCTGGGTGCTGCCCGACACAGCTAGAGCTACGCAGACAGCTGTAGCTCCCCTGGTTCACACTTGTCAACAAATGGGACAAATAAGGGTAGCCGAATATGTGCGATGGACTGTGAAATTCCCTCCTATTCCGCCTTGCAACAGGAGGAGGCGAGCATGGTATGACACCGTGCTAGGAGGAACTGGAACTTTGTATGGTCTGGCTAACACAGCAGACAATGAGGTAACACGAACTATGCTGTCCAACACTGGAGAATACACCGCACAAGCTGTCACCAAGACTGCAAGATGGATGCCTTCGACTGTATCTAGTCAGTTAGAAGGAAGTGATGTGTGGAAAAGTGTATTTAAATGGAATCTAAAGCTTTGGAATGAAACTTATGATGCATTGCATAATTTGTCACACATAGGTAATTGGACAGTCTGTTCCTTGCAGACTATTCATGCTGAGACACAAAGAAATAGGTTTCAAATACAGGTAATGAGTAATAACTATCATGCATGGCGAACATTATGGAACATCAGTAGTTCATTATGGCTACAGCCACATGCAGAAATGACGATTTGTAATAAATCTATGTGTACTGGATACTGGGATCAGTATAATATGACATCAGTAATGACTGTGTGTAGATATCAGATACTGCCGGTGATAACCACTAAAGGGTTTTGGTATCTCCATGTTAGTGGAGAGTGGTGGGATGTTAAAACAAATCGAACATATGAAGTAAAACACTGTGATGAGACTGATAAGGGTTTAGCCTGCCCATTGGTAAAAGGACATAGCAATCCATGTTTCACTGATTCAAGGGTCGTACTCTGTGATTGGACGGTCACACCCCCAGAGGAACAGTTTTGGCAGGTGGGTCCTAACACCTTATGCGTGGCTACAATGACCAATTCCCCACAGGTACCTTCAGTTCCCTTTTCAGGTTGTCTCAAGGGTATACATATGTGGGAATGGAATAACGTGACCTATTGGTTGAGTAATTACACTGTATCTAGTCGGCTGACTAAGATACAATGGGAGGTTTTACACTCCCCTTGGACACTCTCACTGGAACGATTCAAATGCGCATTGGATGGTTCCACTGAAGTGGCAAAATTGATTGACTCTCATAGGTCCAACCTTTCCAGGCTCATGGTGTCTACTCTTGTGGCACAAGGGGAAATAAAACATGTTGCTACATTGATTGAACAGGCTTCCGCTCATCATTGGTGGGATATATTTACAGGCATGTCGAGTACCGCTAATAAAGTGCTAATTCCACCTATGATTGCAGCATTAATTATAATCAGCATTCTAACATTGTGTAATCTTATTATTTGTTGGTATGTTATTCGATTAAGAAGAGAAATAAATTGGGTAATAATGCAAAGACTACGATGAAAATTAAAGTGGAACTACAAGGTATGTTATAAATGACGTTGGTTTTGATGGGGAAATGGTGATGGATATGTTACATAAATTAGATGAAAAGTTCAAGAGTGGAATGTAATAAAAATGAACTTGTCATCTGTTGTATAATTGCTTTATATAAGTTATTGATCACTACTGTTTGTCAATCACACTTATCATGAGGATGTAATCAAGGGTAATCATGGTAGAGCCGAACATAATGTGATCATGAGGATGTAATCAAGGTAATCATGGTAGAGGTGTGCAGCTTTGCACGCACATCAGGGAATGTATAAGGAGCAGAGCAGGGCTCAGGGGGGTTAGAGCTGCTTGGAGGATTCTACCTGACGAGGTTCATGGATTACATGTGTTCAGTTCTTCACCTATCATGGATTACGTTTTCTAACTGGGGTGTTCAGCTCTCCACCCATAAGCAACGGTAAGAAAAATGTTTCGTTCATGATTGATAACTTGTATGAATGCCGGTTGAATAAAGCCTTGTTGTTCATCTGATATTCAAGTTGTGTTTCATTGTTTCTGGCGTCGACTTGACAACGATCCTGATTAAATAAATATAAAGTGTAAAAAGAGACTTTGAGTCTTTTAAGGTAATTAAAATAAAATAAAACATTTTATTTTAGAACACCAGGCTTAAAGACTGAGGCAGGCACGATAAGAGAGGGGCCCCCACTAAAAAAACATCATCCACGAGAGGATGAAATCCATCTCAGCAAGGCCAATGAGGCGTCATAAGCATTCATTCAGCCTGCTGGGGTCCAAGCACTGAACGAGTGATGGAACCTGAAGACACATCCCGTAAATAATAACGAGTAAAGGAACAGGGTGAAGCCCATGAAGCAGCCTGACAAATGTCTTCCATCGACACACCACTGTGGAGCGCCATCGAAGAGGAAATCCCCCTGGCTGAGTGAGCCCTGAGTGCCTCAGGGGAAACCTGCCCCGATGACGTGTAAGCGAGGGAAATGGCGTCACACAGCCAGTGTGAAAGACGCTGGGCCGTCAGCGCCTGACCAAGGGAAGACTCCCTGTAGTGCACAAACAGGTTTTGTGAACGACGAATCCCTGAAGTGCGTGACACATACCGTACAAGCGCGCGCACCGGGCAGAGAAGGTGAGAAGCCGCCTCCTCCTCAGAATTATGGGGAGGAGGAAAAAGTCCAGCCAATGAAATTGACCTGGACTTGAAGGAAGCATTAATGCTTTTGGGCACAAAGGCTGGATTGGGGCATAAAACAGCAGACCCGCCATCTTCCCGGATCCTGAGGCATGCGGGAGCCACTGAAAGGGCGGTCAGGTCACTCACTCTCTTAACTGATGCTAGCGCTAGCAGCAATGCAGTTTTAAGTGACAGGAACTTGAGTGAGACCTGGTCCAAGGGCTCAAATGGGGCTTTGGATAAGCCGTGCAGAACCACCGTTAGATCCCACTGGGGAAAAAGCGGGCGGGACACAGGTCTGTTCCTCCTGACACCTTTTAGAAAACGTTTTGTGAGGGGATGATTGAAAACAGATCTATCTCCAAACCCTTGATGACATGGCTGCAGCATATGTTTTAATAGTGCTGAAGGCGAGGCCCCTGTCCATCAGTATCTGCAGAAACGACAGGACATCCGCCAGCTGGCAGGAGAGCGCTTGAACATTCCGCTCTGTGCACTATTTCTGGAAAGCTGCCCATTTAGCAGCGTAAGACGCAATGGTAGAGGGTGCCCGCGCACTCTGAATCGTGGCGACCACATCATGCGGCAGCCCAGAAGCCTCTAAGCGTGACCGCTCAGCAGCCAGACCCACAGCCGTTGGCCTATTTCCGGAGGATGTTTGATTATCCCATCCGCCTGGAGAAGGGCGTCCGCCCTCCACGGGAGCCTCCACGGGGAGCCGGACACTAGCGCTTGCAGGTCCGGAAACCATGACGCGGACAAGCGCCTGGGAGCCACCAGAATCACCGAGAGCCGTTCCGACCGAATTCGGTCTAAGAGACGGGGAATCAGAGGGACTGGTGGAAACGCATAAAGGAGCGCTCGAGGCCAGGGCTGGTGTGAGAAGGCGTCCGCCCCGAGCGGAGGTCCGTCCCGGGGACTCAGGGAAAACCACAGGCGACACTGAGCGTTTTCGCGAGCCGCAAACAGATCCACAGACGGTTCCCCGAACCTGATCCAGATCTGTGATATCAGTGCGGGATGCAGACGCCAGTCGGAGTCGCGGGGTCCCCCTCTCGACAGGATGTCTGCCGCTACATTCAGGACCCCCGGAATGTAGTTGGCCCTGATGGACAGCAGGTGGACATGTGTCCAACACAGTAAATCTGTGGCGACACGCAACAGAGGGAGGGATCGAACTCCCCCTTGGCGATTTATGTAGGCTGCCGCCACCTGGTTGTCTGTGTGAACTTCGACATGACGGCCCTCGAGAAGGGCAGCAAAGTGTCTGATCACATTCCTCACTGTCATAAGCTCCAACACATTTATGTGCTCGTGCGTGTGGGAGGGCCAACGATCCGCCACCGTATGGGACAAGCACGTGCCCCCCCACCCCGACAGTGACGCATCCGTAAACACAGATACGTGTGACGCAGGACGTCCGATGGGAACCCCGCGTGAGAGGATGCAGGGGTTCCCCCAGTGAGCGAGGTCCCCGCCCACTGAAGGGGGAATCCCCAACATACGTCTCTTCTGACGTATCGGGTGCACCCGGAGGCGGGTGAACCAACGTTGCAAGCGCCTCGTGTGCAGCAAGCCTAGCGGTACCACAGCGTGGGCTGCGGACATCATGCCCAGGAGTTTCATGACTAACAGGGCTCTCACGATCTTGCGGGGTTGTACACGGGAGATCACCGTGGAGAGATCTGCCGCTCTTGCAGGCGACAAACGTGCTCTCATCAGGGAGGCGTCCAACTCCACCCCGAGATACACAATCGACTGGGATGGAAGAACGGAGCTCTTTTCCCATTTTATAGAAAACCCCAGGGTCGACAGATGCTCTGTCAACCTCCTGGTTTGCTGTGACGCCTCGTCCTTGGACCGAGCGCACAGGAGAAGATCGTCCAAGTAAAATAAAACCCTCATTCCCTCCGTGCGCAGTGGCTGCAGCGCGGTCTCCAGACATTTGGAGAAGGTGCGCGGGGCTAGCGAGTAGCCGAAAGGGAGGCGATTGAACTGATATTGAACTCCCTTGAACGAAAAACGCAGAAACTTCCGGTGATTCGGAATTACTGGTATGTGGAAGTATGCGTCTTTCAGGTCGATTGACGTGAACCAATCCCCGGGGCGCACATATTCCAGGACTTGTCTCATCGTTAACATGCGGAAATGCATTACTGCTATGGAGCAGTTGAACAGGGACAGGTCGAGAATCGGTCTCATTCCTCCCGACTTCTTCGGTACTATGAAGTAGCGGGAGTAGAAGCCCGAGAGCTCTTGTCCGCGAGGGACTCGTGAAATAGCGTCCTTGGACAGAAGTTCCCGCAACTCCAGCTCTAGAGCCTGAGACTGTACTTGCGATGTGAACGTCGTCTCCACGATCCCGTTGAAGGGAGGTGGAGTGACCTGAAAATGAAGTGTGTGACCGCAATGAATGGTGTCCGAAATCCATTTGCTCATGATACAAAGGCGGCGCCACTCGTGCGCGCGTTCCGACAGAGGACGCGTGTGCGCGGTCACGTGAGCAACGACTGAGGGTTGTGCATGCGCCCTTACCGCCGTCGCCCGTACCAGAGAACTGGGGGCGACCCATGGAGGGCTGCGCTCGAAAGGGCGGGTGCGAAACAGCTGGAACAGGCTGGTCCGCACCGCGGAGCGTGGAGTCCGAAAGTGAAGGACGAGTGGGAGCCGAGCCTGTGCACGGGGGCGACAAAGTGCCAGCGGACGAAGCCGCGCACTGTGCCGCCGCGCGTGGTCGAGACAGCGACCTGACATCTCGCCCCACCCGACGATGTGGTGAGAGTTGGGCCCGGCCGGATGCTGGGGCCGGAGCGCCAATGGAGCGCACCCTTACGGTTGGCCGTATATTATGACTGCCTGCAGGAACATGTGTGCGTGCAGCAGTGCTTGGTGTGGGGAACATGTGTGAGAACTCGGCAGGAGATTCTGCGGAGGACTGTAGGATTGTGCTCTTTGAGTGACATGTTTTGGGTTTTATTTCAAAACCAACATCAACATTACAATCATGTACACACACATTCCCCCCAAAGAGTCACTTCCGTGGCTGCTTTCGGCGAGGCTCGTGCACCTGGGACTGCCAAGACGGCGTCTGCTGGCCCCGCCGGAACCGTTGCCCGCCATCTCGCTGGTCCCGCTGATGTGGAGCCGAAGCGGGAGGCCGGCTCCGTGGAGCGGACGGTGCAGCTGGGCGTTTGAAGCTTCCGCGCCGTTCGTCCCATCCTCTGGCAGAACGGCCGGAGTGCGAGGCTGACCGAGGGTGAACCAGGTCTCGTACCGTAGCCGATAGTTCAGCCGTCTTCTGAGCCCTCTCAATGACGCCCCTAAGATGGGGACCAAACAGAACATCGGTGGTGATGGGGCCGTCCAGCATCTCCCTTTGCAGATGCTCCGGAATGGAGGGCAGGGCCTTGAGCCAGATCGCTCGCTGGATGAGGGTCTGCCAGGCAGCGATGCGAGCAGAACCGGTGAGCACAGCAGCACACAAATTGAGGATAGCATCAGCAGTCTTAGTAATGACGGCCTTCGACTCCTCGGGGGCTTCCAGCTCCTCCATCATCCTCGAGACGCCGAAGGCAAGGAGGGCGATGTTATTCCCTGCAGCGCCGGTCTGAAAGGCACACTGATGTGCGCGGTCGGTGAGCCGCGTCAGCAGCTGGTCATGTTTTGAAGCGGGAACAGCTCGCGGGCCAGCGAGGTGGTTCTTGGCGCCAAACAGCGAGGCCAAGTCCGGCTCTAGCGGAGGAACGGACGGCCAGCCTTGGTCGGAAAACCCCTCGACCTTGGTGATGGGCGCAAAGGTGGAGACTGGTGCCTTGAGCTTGGCAGGCTCGGAGAAGGCGGCAGACCAGCAGCTCATAGCAGCAGGGAAGCGTGGCCAAATAGGGTCTAGACAGCGTGTCTGAGTTGCCCCGAAGATTCCCGCCAAATCATCCGCTTCAGGCGGGGCTGGTTCTGGCACAGCTAGCCCCTTGTGGGCTGCTGCCGCAGAAATGATGGCGGGCAGCTCCTGGAGCAGTGCTCTTACTGCTGGCAGGGAGGAGCGAGAAGCCACTGGGGCAGAAGGACCCGCTGGGCGGAGCTCATCGACCTCCGTTATGTCTAGGAGGGATGCCGCCTCGTCGTAGTTCTCGCTGTCGGTGACGTCATCCAGCCGGTTGAAGCCAGCCGGCTCCTGACCGGCGTCGAAGAAATCCAACGCCTTGTCCAGCGGGTACGAGTCAGCCACCGGAAATTCTTCGTCGGCGGCGGGAGTGAAGTACTCGACCCGGCGAATCTTCTCTGCCACGGGCAGAGCGGCACAGAACGGGCACGAGGCCTGCGGGGTCAAGGCCAGGCCAGCGTGGTGAGCCCCGAGACAGACCTCACACTTAGCGTGCAGGTCTCCGCTGGAAATGGAGCCCAACTGGCAGGTCGGGCAGGGTCTGGCGTCGCTGGACATGGCTGGTAAGTCTTCTCGGATAATCTTGCTCTTTCTGGATAAATTTGCTCTTTAAGAAGCTCTCAGCTTGGCATGAAGAGAAAAAGGAGGCGAGCAGTGGGGTCACTGCGGTTATATACCACGAGGGGGCCCACTATTGGTGGGCGTACATTTAAGCTCTTCATGATTGGCTGATGCGGAGATCATCCTTCCAATAGCAGCTCGCTTAAGGGCTAAGACTAGACGAAATAGAACGGGATACAGTAAAATAAATACAAGGTAAGAAAACACTCATACATCACAACTGTAGCTACATTTCTACCAGCATTATGAAGATCAATAAGCTAAATAAAAGGTGAAAGCTAAACATTTTATTACAAAAAGTCAACTAATAAAATTCTGCACTGATAAAATTATAATTTCAGCTAAATAAATATATATTGTACGTATAAATAATGCTGGAATGAAGCTGAATCATTTAGTAAACAGTTGAGTGTTCTAATAAAAACCAGTGTGACTGTAATCTGTCCCTCCCCATGTCACCATCTACAACAGCCTTCTGGGACACCTGACCAACCAGGTGGATTTTATTTGTGACGTTTGTTTCCATAACTTTATAAAAGCTGTTGTTGAAGATGATCAGACTATCTCCCCCTTCGGTTCTCTGCTCTCCCGTCGCGGTTCGCTCCGTCTCGTTCTGTGATGCTGCAAAGCTGGTTTCCCTCTAATAGCGATTTTTGGAGTAACATGAATTACATCATGTAATACCTCGTTGAAACGCTCGTTTTACGTACTTTTAGAAACTGTTTGAATTATTTTTATTCGATTAGTAATTCAGAAGTTATGACCCGGAGAATCTAGAGTGAGAAATATCAACAACTGTGATACTTTGTTGTGAGTTTCTTCAACACTTCTGGAGAAGTCTCTCATGTCCCATTTTCTGTCTCAGACATGCAGCTACCTGACTCTGCTCCACACACGCTAGCCACGGACTCAAACGCACTTAAACAAAAACTTTGATATTAAAATTCATCCAGGTGATGTGAAGCAGGCAGAAAAAAAATCTTACAGGTA